TTTAAGCCGTTAGAAATAACATTTAAAAATGGAAGAATATTCCTGTGCAGAATATGCTGATATGCACCTAATTTATGGGGAAGCATTATGCAACTCCGTGGAGGCAAGAAGACTTTATGAGGAAAGGTTTCCGGGTCGACATTTGCCGAGTCCAAAAACTTTTGAAAGAGTTGATCGTAGTTTAAGAGAAACAGGTAAAAAAAAAAAGTGAAAAACGTTAGTGAAACTAATTTCTTCCGAATCCTTTATTTAGGAAGCTTTTTGCCACGCCGTGGTGGAGCAGGAGCCCCGAGGAGAGTACGAGACCCTCATGTAGAGGAACAAATATTGGAAGACGTTGCTAATAATCCTTCAAATAGCATAAGGAAGCTTGCGGCGCAAAACAATGTTACAAAATGGGCTGTACATGAAACTCTGAAAGAACAATTGCTTTACCCGTACCACATCCAAAAAGTACATGCTATGTCTCCAGATGATTATCCAAAAAGACTTCAATACGCCAATTGGTTTTTACAGCATCATATTCGGAATCATAATTTTGGTACATCTATTTTGTTCACCGATGAAGCAGGTTTTACAAGAGACGGCATAATTAATTCGCATAATCTACATGTCTGGGATGAAGAAAACCCTCACGCTTTAGTTCAAACTCGCTACCAACAAAGGTTTATGGTGAATGTGTGGGCTGGCATTATCGGGAATCATTTGATTGGTCCATTTATTCTGGAGCAAAGACTTAATGGTGCTCTTTATTTGCAATTTTTAGAGGAAAATCTAAATATTTTGTTAGAAGAAGTGCCCCTTCAAATAAGAACTGAAATGTGGTACATGCATGACGGTGCACCACCCCACTTTGATCGTTTAGTACGTCAACATCTGACGAATGTTTTTGGTGATCGATGGATAGGTCGAGGCGGACCTGTATTATGGCCACCTAGGTCGCCCGACCTAAACCCATTAGACTTTTTTCTGTGGGGTCATTTAAAAAATAACGTTTATTCAACACCCGTAAATAGTAGAGAGGAACTTCTGCTGAGGCTAACACAGAACTGTGACCATCTCCGCAATAATCACGGAATATTATTTCAAGTGCACCGGGAAAACATTCGTAGGATTAGAAAGTGCATTGAAGTACGGGGTGCTCATTTTGAACATCTACCGAAGTAACATTTAGGTACCTTTGTTCATTGTTGAATGTTCTTTGTTGCATGTCTTGTAAGTAAGTTATTTTTCAAATGTTATTTTTAATTGGTCACTACTTGCTCATAAAGTATAGCCAACCCGTTCAAAGATTTCTGGACTTGATAAAGTTAAAGAAATTAAATGCATGAAATAATATGTAAAAAAAATAAATTTTAATTGTTGTTGTATTTGTTACCAATTTTTTTCAAAACCGATTTATCTCGCAAACCGTTCATTTTTTCGAAATAAATAAAGAGTACCATTTTTAAAGAAAAACCTTCAGAGTATCTAATAATAATATTTTCAGTTTGATAAAATTACTTCTGTCAAAATTTTGAGAAAAATTGTGATAGGGCCAGTCCGTTTCTGGACACCTGATAATAGCAAAAAGTTGATTTTAGCATCAAATCGTAGAGCTCCATGTGTAATACAACGTACGAAAATTTTATTAAAATATACAGGGTGGTTTCAAAGTTATAACCCTAAACGTTAATTTCTAGGTACCCCTTTGACCCCCCATAACTCCGTTAGGGGGCACATTAGGAAAAAAAATTATAGGAAGGACTAGTTTTATTTTGACCTCCCCTATACACTCCCGAGAGATTAGGAGGTATTTATCGGACACCCTGTATGTGTGGAATTGAACCTATTATATACTTCGGTGAAAACATTTTATATAGCATACGAATCTTGACAGTTATCGTTCCGTTAAAATCTTGTAAATTTGTAAGTATAAAAGTGCATCTAGACTGCAAAATCATATGTGCAGTATGTAAGAGACCCTCATCATTCCATGTAAAGTAAATAAAACTTCAACCAAAGATCAATTTGTTGTGTGTTGTTGTGTAAAAACTTTCTTTCGTTTATATCTGATAAAACGAATAAAGACTGTGTAAAAGGTGATTAATAGACAGTACTAAAGGCATATAAAGGACAGACATGCTGAGAATTAATTCATGTATCAAAATTAAAGTGAATTTTGTAAAAATATGTAACATTTTGACGTAACGTTCAACTTAACCTAGAAAGGTATAATTAGTGTCAAAAGACGCAGAAAAATGCAAAGAATCTGAAAATGAAAAGTTCATGCATCACAAGTCCATTAAAAAGCATTTGCAAAAATAAAATTCCAAAAATATGATTGTTATGTTGCAATAGTAAATTTCAATTGTTTTGCACATTTTATAACCTAAATATTATAATACTAAAAATCAAGTAAACATTTCCTACTATTTTTTTTTNATTGAACCTATTATATACTTCGGTGAAAACATTTTATATAGCATATAAATCTTGACAGTTATCGTTCCGTTAAAATCTTGTAAATTTGTAAGTATAAAAGTGCATCTAGACTGCAAAATCATATGTGCAGTATGTAAGAGACCCTCATCATTCCATATAAAGTAAAATAAATAAAACTCCAACCAAAGAACAATTTGTTGTGTGTTGTTGTGTAAAAACTTTCTTTCGTTTATATTTGAAAAAACGAACGAAAGACTGTGTAAAATGTGTTTAATAGACAGTACTAAAGGCATATAAAGGACAGACATGCTGAGAATTAGTCCATGTATCAAAATTAAAATGAATTTTGTAAAAATATGTAACATTTTGACGTAACGTTCAACTTAACCTAGAAAGGTGTAATTAGTGCAGAATTCAAAAAACGCAGAAAAATGCAAAGAATCTGAAAATGAAAAGTCCATGCATCGCAAGTCCATTAAAAAGTCAGTATTTGCAAAAATAAAATTCCAAAAATATGATTGTTATGTTGCCATAGTAAATTTCAATTGTTTTGCACATTTTATAACCTAAATATTATAATACTAAAAATCAAGTAAACATTTCCTACTATTTTTTTTTGAAAATATAAGTATTCAATATTAACCTCCATCAAGCGCATCGCTGTAAAATGTTAATTGCGTCCTCAAATTTTTTTTTAAATAAAAAAATTATCTCGGCTCCAGAAGGTCATAGAAAAACATTTTTTTTTCTGAATTTGTTAAAAAATGTCAGCAGTTTCTTTCTTCAAAAGTCATTTTCATAAAATAAAAATTGAAATAGTTATTTGAAAAAGTGCAACTCTTTCAAAGTCATTTTTTGATCCTTAAAATTAATATAATCGTCAACATTTTTTAACAGCATGATAATATAACTCTTTACGAAGAAAATAAACCGAAAATCGTTACTGTAGGGCTATCCGCTGAGAAGATCTAGCCAATTTTCGAGAGCGCCTTTTTTTCAAAAAATCGATATATCTCGAAAAATAATTAATATTTTTAAATTTTTCAAAAATGTACTTTTTTGGCTTGCCGCGGGCTATGCTTGCAGTAAATAGCAAATATGGGCACGTAAATGTAAACGAGTTATAGAAGAAGAGAAAAGAGAAGATTTTTAACGGTTTTTTCGATATATCTCGAAAAGTAACAAAGCAATCGATACTTTCAAAAAATCAGTCGATAGATCTTTTTAAAACCTACAACTTTCTCATTTAAAATTTTTCAATCCGTGCTATATTTTTTTAGTTATTTTAGAAAAACCGTTTTTTTCAACTTTGCGATTTTTTTTAACCATGTTCGCCATATTGGATCGAGTTTAAAGAACAAGAAACTCAATTTAAAATTTAATTTTCTATACGGTCATATTTTTTTTGTCCAGGTAATAATTTCTGTAAGCATTTCTCTATAATGCTTGGACTAAGTATGCTTCCTACCAATTTAAAATGTCAGTATGACTAAAACAACACTCATCCGCCCACAACACTCTGTTAATAAAATTGGGATCCACTACATTTTGATTTTTAAACCATTTGCAAAATTCAAGACATCAGGAGAAATCAGCTGTTTTTTTTTTCGTTTTTCTGTCTTTATTAGGCCTTCCGGTGCAGTGGTTAAAATGAATGGCATTATAACTGAATCACCCTGTAGATGTCACTCTAAGGCATAGTAAACATTAATCTTCTATTAGTATGTACATACATTGTTAACTGTAAATAAAACTAATTGCTTTTTTAAAATAATTAACTTTGTCGTTTTAAAAAACGTAAAAAAAAATAAAATATTTTTATAAAATCGTGTTTCCATTTTTTAAACAGGGTATATATTTAATTTGTAAATCTCAGAGTCCTCAGTGACCTCTGACCTTAACCGAACTGTCACTGTCACTACTTAAAGTAGATAGGGATAGATTAAGGAAAATTAAAACAAGTCATATTAAAAAGTTATGAAATTCTAAAGAAAACACGGTATGTTTCTACTCTTTTTTTTTTATTCGGTCACTTCAACAGCCAATCGGTGCCAGACATATTAAATTAATCGAAAATAAACAAAACAGCAACAAAATTAAATCCTGAACAGTTTAAATTTAAGCAGAACCCGATCTCTGCCATTCTGTTAAAGTTCCGTATTGTCGCCTTTGAAAAACCGCTACAGCCAGTTGACTTCACACCTGTTGTGATATGACGGACTGGTACACGAGTAAAATGCAAACTGCCCTAGTAATTCAGTAAAAGGGGACGGTTAAATATATTGTGTCATCATCACTTCATTCTGTTACATCTTTATTATAGTTTCTGAAGTATTGTAAGTGTACAACCTTATAAAATTAATTATTTCAGTGAGATGTGGCATATTATGAAAAAGCATGTATACGCATCAAGAAAGGTGTATGTTTTGTCAGGAGGAAACGATGCTGTTGTAAGAAGACGATATCAGATAGATTATCCCTTTTAACTTCACTGAAAGTTAAATAAACCTTTTAAAAATAAATAAAACTACTCCATCTTAGCTTTGATTGTGTATTAATTGTAAACTACATACCCAAAGCTGGTTCAGTTTTGATACGTAACGGTTCATTCTTTATATTTAGCTCCTCTTTTTTTTTCCTTCCCGTATTCGGTTGGTCTTGAACGAATCATTATTTATATTTGGTTTCTCTTCTTTTTCCTCCTCATATTCTGGTTCAGTTTTGATAGGTAACGGTTCATTCTTTTCATTTGGTTTCTTTTCTTTTTCCTCTCCATATGCTGGTTCAGTATTGATAGATAACTGTTCATTATTTATATTTGGTTCCACTTCTTTTTCCTCCCCATACTTTGGTTCACGTACCGAATCATTCATTTTATCCGGTTTATTTTCTTTTTCCTTTCGCCTCGAATCCTCCCCATTTCTTAAACTAACCTGCAGGCTACTACCCCTTTTCGTAACCAAAGTATCGCTTTTACAAGTACAAAGATCGTACTCGCTATAATTTTTCGGTTGCGGCGAGACACACAACCTTTGAAACGCCATCCAGAGCAAATATAAAGGATATATGAAGAAAAACACGGTATTGAGGGAAAACTCCGCTGGTAGGGATATATTCCTCACCCTCTCTCTCGTGTCTGGATGTATCGGCCAGCCGTTTTCGTCGTAGACAATTTTTCGATGCTTCAGATCCGATTCGTAGTACTGGTTCATGCGCTTTGGCAAGTCCAAAATCTGGTCCAGCCCCCACAGGCCAACGGCGACCATGAAACACCCAGCGATCGCCTTCGCTAGACCCATGATCAGCAGCGTCAGGAACAAGAATATCAGGATGTACAGTATTATCGAAAGCACGTCGTCCCAGAAAGTGTAATGCACCACGTGAAGGGGCACCGGAAGGCTCCCCTGAAACCCAGCCGCGTGGTAGTGCTGCAGGGACATAGGCTTGCACTTTAGACCCTTATCGGAGAGGAGACAAGCGCACAAGCAGTGCCAAGTGCAAATACACCTGTCTAACTTCTCTAATCGGATTTTCCTGAAGGCTATGAGTTCCACTTTATCGTTGAGAACTTCCACTGCGCAGAAGAAGCTGGTTGCTGGTAGAGGACATTCGATTTTTAAGTTGAAAACGTGTTGTTGCTGAGGCGCTATAAGGGCCGGTTTCGACGTGATGCTGCTGAAGCTTGCGGGTAGGTCTAGAGGGCAGTGGGTTAGAGCTACGAAGAATAAACTCGAGACTAGTCCGGAGTTGAAGACTTTTACTATTATCGAGGTCCTTTTAGGGCTGGAACTGTCCACGTACACTTCGGTGATGATGGCCAGTGAATTTGGTCGCAACACGACGTTGTTATCTGCTTTGATCTCCAAGTCTAGTATGCTAGTGTAGGATTCAGTGTACAGCATCCTCAAGGTTTTATTTGGGGAATTCTCAGTTGATTCGATAGGATCATCGGCTAAAGATCCGTGGTACTTAAGGAAGTAAGAACCGTTCTTTCCTTCAGTTTCGGCTTCCTGGTCGTGGGTAAACAAATGCTTGGGTTGTTTGTGCAGACAAGTTCCTTTGGGTTTAGAACAACGGTTTGGTTGTTTCACGAAGGCTTCGTACCCGACACCTGCGGTGTTACAAGATTTACCGTTGGTTTGTACTTGATTCTCGTTGACCACCAAGTACTGCTCAGGGCCGCCCTTAAGCTCAGGGTAACTGTCGTTGACGACGATTTTAGAAGCGTCGGGGATCAACAGTTTTTTGATTTTATAATTTATAGAGAACATGCAGGGATTAACGTCCCTCGCCATGTAGCTGGCGATGAGCGTATTTTCTTCGTTCGCGTAAAATTTGTCGTCGGTTCCGATGGTTACTGCGGAATTGTTGGTGAGGTCTGTCCATTTGAAGCTTCCGTCGTGGTCCTGGCACTTTTCGTAGATCTGGAATTGGAGGGAGTGGAACAACCTGGGTTTCTGGATGCAGTAAACGCTGTACCACAAGTCGGAAAATTCTAAGCAATGCGTGCTGTCGTGGTAAGTGTCTGGGTTTACGTTGGGAGGGGTGTAGTTGTCGCTGCAGTCTTGCCCGCCTCGTTTCTGTACGAAGTGTATTTTATCTAAAAAAGAGGTGCTAAATTAACGAGTTGTTTGCTAAAATAGATGCACAGAAAACAAGGCAATGCCTGTATTTAATAGTAAAATTCTGAGCCACATCTGAATGTGGATATCTTATATTGTCGGTTTAGACTTAACACTACTTCGAAAGACTTGTACTCTTCTACAAAGGAACCTTGAATTTAAATTAAAGTAGTTTTTGACCCGGAGCTGAGTTTCCTAATAAACACACATGTTAGAACCTGCTAAATTACCTACAAATACTCTTGTCTAATGAATTGAAATTGCCAGTCTTTCAACTGTATTGTCTACATCAACAGTTTCTGCAACTAAGTAGTCTGAGAAAACCTCTGGACAAAAGCTTGGACAATTATTTGAATTGAGAGGAATACAGTAAATTATGTAACAAACTATCTCCAATTTGGTCTATAATTTTATCTACAAAAAATTGCAAATAAATCTGTTCTCNTCTTTCACAATTGGGCATTTTTTGCTCATTGAATTTGAAAAAAAAAATAATAATTTTTAATCAATTTCGTTAATTCAAAATAAAGGAAATTACGGTACGGAAAGAGTACATCGCTTAAAAAATGACTCAATATTTTTATCTTGAGTTGTTAAAAAATGGAGAAGAGTAAATTTTCAAAAATAAAAAAAAAAATTTCAAAATATTTTATTTTTTTTTTCAAATTCAATTAGCAAAAAATGCCCAATTGTGAAAGAAATGAAAAAAAAATCAAATTTTTCATTTTTACGAACGTTACAGAGTGCTCAGAAATGTAAATGTTGCTCCTTTAAATTTTTCTGAAATTTTGATTAAGCGGTCCGGAAAAACCGTTCGATAGATCGATCTGCCCATTTACGGAGCTTTTGGGGGTACATCGAGGTGTAAAAATTCGTACAAGCATTAGACTTTCCATCGATATTAGCAAAAATGCGGTCGACTTAGCAAAACAAGTCAAAAAGTCACTTTTTTTCACTTTTTTCAAGTTAATGTCGAGGATGAAAGAAATTTTTTTCTTCCAGGAACGCTACATAGCCTTGTAGGAAATTTATTCGAGATTTCGAAACTGCCCGTCAATTTTCTATCTCATCATTAGTTGCTGAGATATCGATGGTTAAAGCCAAAAGGATGCTTTTGTATTCGTAGTCGAATATCTCCGGGTCAAATTAACGTAGAGAAAAATTAAAAAAAAGAAATTAAAGCTTAATGAACAGGCTATCAAGTCCATATCATGATTTTTGTGTAAAAATTTTTTCCAAGCCCGTGGACCGAGAAAAAAACGCAAAAAATTGGAAAAAAATTTTTTTAGTCTTATTTCTTAGAATTTCGCGATGACTGTCGCTCCTAATAATTTTGAAATAAGAAATCTGGAAACTAAACATTCGGCGCTTTAAAATGCTATTTTTAAAACCTTGATACGATCATTTTTAACTGAGAAAAAAATTCTGAAAAATCACTAAAAATTCGAAAAATTTTGTTGCTCCCTTAATGTTTTGCAGAAGTATAGTTTTCTGAAGTTTTTAAATTTTAATAATGAAATAAAGTAGACATATTTTTAATGATTTACAATTTATCACATTGACTATAAGCATGTCGTATACAATTTGTAATTAATTAATTTTCCGTTATCAACTAAATTAAGCGTACAATAATTAATAATGTTTTTTATCAACTTTAATACTGAACAAAGCAACTAAAAACAGAGGTTAGTTTGGTTATTTTGGTCGCAGGAAGTTGTGGTAAACAAAATATTAGGACACCCTGTATATACGTATTGAAAGGAAGGTTTTGCCGCTTTAATTGAGGAAAGTGGAAAGTACGATGACATCCTTGTTGGCTTGATCGCCTGCAACCGTCTTCCAGTGACGACTCGTTGGTGTAAGCTAGTCATACAGTTTTATTTTTAATAGTTTTAATGCATAGGGTGTTTGTAAATAAGTGCGAAATATTTTAGGGTTTTGCCGAAGTTATTTTGTGAAAAAAAGTTGATATACCTAAACGTAGATATATGCTTCGTTTCCGAGATGCAGAGTATTTAAATTTTAATATTTTATTTATTTTTATTTATTATTTCAAAGAGTTTTAAAGATCGAAAGTTGAAAAACGCTTTGGGGGGGGGGGATAAATTTGCATTTTTTGAGGTGATCCGAATTTTTCTACTTTCACCAGTGGCGTTCGTGCGAGAATGCCACAATCCTTTTTTAATAAAAAAAAATGGTACGCTACTAATTTTTTTCCATTTTTTTATATTTTTTTTTAGATATCCGCCATCAGTTCTGAATGAAATTGGTCTCTTCAATTTTTTTCGTAGGATGCACCGTTTCTGAGGAGAAAAATAAAACATATTTTATTGTAGGTTTTGTTAATCTTTTATTTAAAGAACGATCTAATAATTTATATCCAGGGTGAGTCATTAATAATAGTACACGTCTTAATGGCAGATTGTTAACGTCAAAATATAGCGATTGAGCCAAATATGCCTTAATCAATTGTTGCTCATTTTCGTTCTACAGGGTGTTCATGTTAAAAAAATATTTTTTTTTAATTTTGTATGAAGTAAAAATGTCTTACTATGCAAGAAAATTTGCAAGATCTTACCATAGAACTGTAAAACCGACAATTTTTGCCGCTGCTACTGATAAATACTACGATTACGATAAACCATCATCTACTCTTATTTTGTTAAACAAATAAATATAACACAGGCCGACAAAATTTCAAAAAAAAAAAAATTCCAGAAATCAGACACTATGCTTCCGAAGGCATTTGGCGCGCTGAATCCGAATCTGGCCTCAGAATTGATCCATCACCCTAGGTTTCCGAGATATTCTAACCTAAAAGTGCAAAAAACACGTACTTTTGCTATATTCAAGGTTATGTAACTTGGCGAAAAAATTTTTTTTCTCAAAACTGAAAACATCATTGGAAACGACTATCTTTCCCCTTCAAAACGCATTTTTTTATTTGGAAAAAGCTCTATTTTTCGCGGAGATATCGTCAATTTAAGATGACCAGTATGGCTATATTATTACATCATGGCTAACCCCATAACACTGAGCGCTGCTAGCCCTAATTGTTAGGAACGTTAACCCCAAGCCCTATAACCCCACAACACTAAGCGGAGCGAGCCCTCATCGTCAGGAAGGTTAACTTCAAGCCCTATAACCCAATAACACTAAGCGCTGCGAGCCCTAATCGTCAGGAAGGTTAACCCCAAGCCCTATATGTCTGGAAGGTTAATCCCAAGCCCTATAACCCCACAACACTAAGCGCTGTGAGCCCTAATCGTCAGGAAGGTTAACTTCAAGCCCTATTACCCAATAACACTAAGCGCTGCGAGCCCTCTAAGGCTCGTAGCGCTTAGTGATATTGTGTTATAGCCATGGTTTAATAAGGAAGCTATACTGATCATCTTTAATCGACGATATCTCCGCGAAAAATAAAGCTTTTTACAAATAAAAAAATGCGTTTTGAAGGGGAAAGATAGTAGTTTCCAATGATATTTTCAGTTTTGAGAAAAAAAATTTTTTCGCCAAGTTACATAACCTTGAAAATAGCAAAAATACGTGTTTTTTGCACTTTTAGGTTAGAATATCTCGGAAACCTAGGGTGATGGATCAATTCTGAGGCCAGATTCGGATTCAGCGCGCCAAATGCCTTCGGAAACGTATTGTCTGATCTCTGGAATTTTTTCCTTGTTGGCCTGTGTAATTTTTTAAATAAAACCAATCTGTATTTTTCTCAATGTAAGCCCAACCCTAAAACCAACCGGATGTGCCGCCACTGGCGCCATTTCCGAGCTGTATGATTTTTATTACACGTCATAATGCATTCATTAGTACTCACCGCTGAAAGGTATTAATCTTTGGTCGTTTGCACTTTGAAAGAGCCCGGCATTATCTCCATTATCGGCTGCATTTATTGCCACGGCATCTTCTTTGGCTTTGCCGGCTTTACCAGTAAATTCATAATGGTCGTTATTACGTTTATTGTAGCTGGCTACATCGATATTACTATAAGCGTTTCTCGTTTTCTTCGGGTTCATGTCGTCGTCGTTACCGTCGCTTGTAAAGTTCGTGTCCTCCGTATTTTGTTCGATATGGTCGTTGGTGCAGGGGCAGCAGAAGCCAGTGCTGTAAGGAACGACTTCGTCCTCGTATTTCATCGCGCCGCACGTCGGGTTTTGGTCGGCGTCCACGCTACACCCAGTATATCCTGTAAAGAATGTGTTTATTAAGATTGGAAATTGAAACCCCATTTCTTCTAAAAAATACCACAGTATTTTTATAAAATGGTTGTAGGTAGTCGTTTTTTCGAATACACACAAAAGATTTTTGGGTCAGTTTTGAAAAAAAAAAACTAGTTTTCATGGAAACGATTTGTGCGTTACAGAACCGAGTATTCGAGATTTGCGAAAAAATATAGCGATTGATTGGGGCTGTATAACTTTTTGCAAATAATTTTTAAATTGACATTTGATATTAAGGTGGAAATCGCGGTAAAAAAAGAACATTTTATGTTTGACGATTGTGAATATTGTACCTACAAAAGAATAATTATTTTTATAGTTTTATATTTTGTAGCTAAATCTAAATTTATAGTCTTCGTGACAGAAGTAAACTCCTTCAGGACTTCAATAGCAGATTTTTTGTTTCGAATTCGATAGATCTCTGCTCCCCCTTTATTGGGGGGGGGGGAGTTTGGAATATAAAGATTGCACGAAATGATACAAAAAACGATATATGGTTAGGTCAAGAAAATTAACTTAAATAATCATATTTTCATTAAATTTAATTCTTTACTAATGATAAATAACTTCTTCTTACATGGAATCCACAATTGGTAGAATTTCCAAGGAAGATTTTATAATATTTCAATATTTCATACCGTCGTTCTAGGGGGCGAAAATTCGAAATATTTGGAATTATTCAATTTTCGTGGATGAAAACATACATAGGTATTGTATTCTCGAAACCGAGAGAGTTGCACTAAACCAAATTTGGAGAGGACATAGCTAAATACAATGCGAAACATCGCCTTAATGTTAAAAATGTTGTCACCGCCATTCCTGGTGGTGAAAATTCGAAATATTTGGAATTATTTAATTTTCATGGCTGAAAACATAAATAGGTATTGTATTCTCGAAACCGAGAGAGGTGCACTAAACCAAATTTGGAGAGGACATAGCTAATACAATGCGAAACATCGCCTTAATGTTAAAAATGTTGTCACCGCCGTTCTTGGAGGTGAAAATTCGAAATATTTGGAATTATTCAATTTTCGTTGCTGAAAACATACATATGTATTGTATTCTCGAAACCGAGAGAGTTGCACTAAACCAAATTTGGGGAGGGCATAGCTAATACAATACGAAACATCGCCTTAACGTTCCAAATGTTGTCACCTCCGTTCTTAATATCAGCAGTACCTAATTTTTCATGTGCCTGTAATATTCCAGTTCGTTAGTTGGAATTTTCATCCATAAGTCATACATCATCAGAAATCAATGTTTGACATATTATCATGTTTCTCGTTTGTGCATCAAAATACCGGCAAGCGACACAATGATTACTATCCATCTTAGTTTTTGGGCAAAATTTGTTGCATTTTACTCAAGGTAAAAAAATTGCTGTTTAAACTTTTATATGTTTTTGAAAAATTTCGCCAATCCTATAAACAAATAGTGACAATTTTTTCTGTAGCTGATTTAGCAAAATTCGAGAAAGAAATATGTACTTCTACTAGAACGTGTTTGTGAACAAACAGTTTCTAATATCATTTGTAAAAAATCCTTTGGACTTAGACTCAAGGGGTATAAATACTGTTATAAAACAGTAATAGCTATATCTTAATACACTAACCTTCATCGTTTTTATTCACCACTTTCTCCTTAGCTTCGGAATTAACCATATTCTCAAAGGCTAACCCGTAAATCTGCAATATCGGTTCTTGCTTTATTTTAAGCACATAGGGATTCAGTAACTTTTGCTTCTTCTCCGTCAGCGGATCGAACACGTGGTCTATAATAATGTACTGGTTTTTGATATTCGTGGTTCCCACGTTTTTCAACTTCACAGTCAATTTTATCTTCTTGTCGCACGTTGATATCTCCTGAGGTACATTTCTCAACGTATTTTCGAATTGCTCGTCGCTTTTCTCGCACGTTTTGCGCATGTACGAAGCCGATTTTTCACAACTTTGCTCCGAATTCACGCATTTTATAAACAAAGCTCTTACTTCGAAACTGGTGGTTTCCGATGAATTTTTACAGCAGTCCATGTGCTGGGCGCAACATCTAGCGTTTCTTTCTTCGTCCATGAGGATATTCTGAATGTTGTCGGTATCGACGGTTTTGGTCTGGCCAGTAGAAAATTGTATATAAAATAGTATAACGAATACCTTTACGTCAAACATTCTGTGACAGAATGGTCACTAACGTCACTGTCACATTCGTATAAGGGACGAAGATAGAGCTAAAGAAATATCAGTGGACTCATTTTAATTTGTTTTGTTTAGTTAGAATTATGAAAAATAGGATTAGTAAATCTGAACAAACAATATGACAAAATGACAAACAAGAAAGGGAGTTAAAAAAATAACTAAAAGTGAAAAATAGATTTAGATGGAACCAGAAAGAATTAAAATTTAGTTGTGGGAATGACGATTTTCATTTTTTTTTTATTTCATGGTTACTTTGTCATATGTAAAAAAATTGTGAAATATCCTTGCGACAAAAGGTTGATTTTTTTAAAACAGTAACTGTAGACTAGGCGGTATTTGTTCTGGTTTGGGTGAATCGTATATCCACGGAGGTTTTTGTCTTTTTGGCTTTCAAATATCACTAGAAATTGAAAATTTTTCTATGCGCATAAAAAAAACGTGGGCTTAACTTTTGCCGGCACAATATGTTAAAAAAATTCGAAAAATGTCATATTTTTCTTCCTATTTAATTATGTATCTTTTCAAGAGTTGATTTTAGATGAAAATGGAAGAGGTGTATTATTGTAAAAATCGAAAAAATCGCCAAAAATGGGGTTGAAAAACATTACTTTTTAGGGAATTTTTTTGGGGTCTTTAAATTGGGTATAGGACCTTCATACTTAGCTTAAGAAAACTTCATATTATTCATCACAATAAATTTCAATAAATTTTCAAATGCAGCAAACACCAAGGCCCTTAGATACTTGAAAATTTAATCATATATAGAAGGGCTCTCAAGCTTTCAAACGCTTTCTGAAAAATTCGAATCCGTCAATTAAGAGAGCTCTGGCGCTTGTTTAAACATTGGTCGAATTTTTGTACTTATAAACAATTAGAATTAGACATTTTTCGAATTTTTTTAATATATTGTGCCGACAAAAGTTAAGGCTTAAAAAACTGCAGAAATATAAAAATAGGTGTTATATGTAGGTGACTAAAATCATATACCTACAGAATAAATATTGTTTTATATTATGGGTTATAATTTACGTTATTTTATAAAGTTTCAACCCTTAAAAACCACCCTTAATGATAAAAATTTAAAATTAATAGTTTCTTTGACCTTAAAATATTTTTATAGCGCATCTATTATAGATAGAAATCTTTTCAATAGTTTATGATATTATAAATAATTTATTACAATATTTCAACCCTTAAAATACTACCCCTAATGACAAAATATAAAAAAATATTTAATAGTTTGAAAAGATTTGATAGTACAAACAGGATAAATTAAATTGTTTTACCTGTTTATAATAAAATTTATAATTTATCCCATTGTTTTAACCCTTAAAAACCATCCTCCATGACAAAATATAATAATCCTATAGGTAAACAATGCAAAATCGATTTTTTTCGTAATTCCTTTCTTTCTCGCGATTTACTTTTTATGCAATATTCAAAATAATTATTTCTCAATATCTTTTTCATGCAGAATATCATAATTTCAAATTTTCCAAATACTATATTATTTTATTATGTAGGTACTTATACTTATGAATGCTCCAAAGTTGTAGATAATCAAAATATTAATATGCTCCAAAAATTAAAGCGGTAAGGTATCGTCAGTTTGTTAATGATAACTTCCTTAATTTTAAAGCTATCCAAAAACGATTTTGCGGAAAATTTCGACAGCTAAAAGTAGGTAGGTACTGTAAAATTGAATATTTTTTAGGCGTTATTTTTAAGATTTTTGAGGTTAAAGGATTTGAAAAACATGACCTTCACCCTGAAAACTTCTACCAGCGACATCTCTGTTAATTTTTGTCCTACACAAATAAAAAAAAACAATGTGAAAAAAAAATCTAAACTTTTGTATTAGGTAGGTATACTCTTGAATATTTTTTATATCTTTTTCATTTTTAAAGTTAATTTTAGAAATGTTATTTTTTTTGGTACCTATTAAATTTTTTTTTTCAATCAAAACCGCTTAAACTTGTATAATATATTGTTAGCACATAAAAAATGTAAATTGTAGGATTACCTGTAATTTTAAATGTGAAAAATTCATCAGTTTTTGTACTGATTTTTTTCCGAAAAAGCGAATTAACAGTTTTATTTTGATCATAACTCTGTTAATTTTTATGCTAAAGACTTAAAGTCATGTTCATTTTAAAGATTTTTTAAAGTACCGACTTTAAAAAATGTTCCATGCATTTTTCTTGAAAAATAGAAATAGTTTTAATTATTTTACGTTAAATGCTTCCAATTTAGTTTCTGGCTGACATGAAATTATCTCCAATCAGCCATATGTCAGCATCTATTTGCAAGATAAGCAAAACTTTTTATCAATAACGTTTTCTCGAAAAAATTAACAATAAAAAAATTTTATCTACAGGAGTGCGGTACCCCATCCGGGGACACACTGTATAATACATGTACATATTTTAAATATATTAATATTTTACTCTGCAACCGATCAATTTTATTTACATTATTGAGTGCAAAAAAAATATGTTTCTTTTATTATAAGATAGGTATAGGTAGGTATTTCCAAGCCAAAGCAATTTTAAATTACCAGTTTTCCACTTCATCTGTTCATTATTTTAACATACTATACATAAGTATATATTTATAGTAAATATCTAAATAAGTAATTAAAATTTGTCCCAATTTTCGAAATTTTTACGTTTTTTTTTGCTTACTTATATCAGTTCAAATTTTAAACAATTCTGTGCCATTTTAATTCAAATTTATTGGAAAATTATCTTAATATTTTTTCCCGTTTATAGAGTAGGTACTATGTGACTAAATACGTACAAATCAAAAACAAACTATAGAGATGACCTATAAGCCTACGCTATCCGGTATATTTTCTATTATATCAAAGGTTATGAACTCTCATCCTTAATTAATTAGAAACATTACAGGGATTGAATACTTCTGTCTTAAATATCATTAATATAGGTAACTACTTAATTTCTAATAGTATTAAAATGTATATTGTTATTAATGTAGAGGTAATTAATGAAAACATATAAAGGAAGGGCATTTTGATAAATCCATATCGCTAAGATTATATAAAATTAAGAGCAATTTACCTGTACTATTGATGTCATTAACAACAATTCACATTCCTAGTACTGCTACTGCATTATTTTAAGACTGTCTGTACACCCTGATTTGATTTAAAAATTTAATTACGATTATAATCTTAATTAATTCCTTTACAACACCTACAGGTATTTAACAATAATCGATATTATAAACAATTAACTCCCCATAGCATTTATCCGACCCAGATTATTGACATCTAGGTAAGCAGCCTTAAATATGTCGGTACCTTTGGTAATAATTATAGGTACCTACACAAAATTAATATTCTTTAGATTTACAGGATAGTAAACACGTTTAAGTACCTACAAATCTAGGTAGATAAGTATTTATAGGAAATTATAAAATATATTCCCACGGATTAAGCGACATTGAAGGCAAATCTAAGCTACACTGGAAAAAATATTCATTAATAATAAAAGTATTGGTTAATCAGTAACAAGGATAATTCAGTATGCATACAAGATCAGATAATTTAAAAATGCAATTTTCGCATGAGGCAAAGATATTATTCAAATTCCTTAATAAATAAGTTGTAGCTTATCTCGCTCTTCTTCATGCGAAAATTAATCAATTATCTGAACCCATTCTGTGAAAAAATTGGACATAATTTGGTATTAATTAATTTATTTATTTACTTATTTATTTATTCACTGACATAATACAGACACAGGTGAGTCAAATCACATCAAATAACCCCCCGCCATATTCCACTTGATTATGGAATTTGAATTCATATATTTTAATCAAAAGTAGTCAACACCAACAATCATAGGTATCCTAAAACCGTTTTTCAAAATTTTTATTTTAACATTTTTTAGCAGAAAATATTTTCAGGACTTTAAATTAAAAAATTAATTGGGTAAAAACCATTAGAAACATCTTAATAAAATTATCAAGACTTATTGTGTAATATTTTTTTTGTAATGAAATAAGAAAAATAAAATAATTTATTTAGGTATTATCATAGGTATTTTTAATTAACTTTTAAATAAACAAATGAAAATCAGTTAACTTGGCTTGAACTCCAGTCAGCCGACATTTAAAAAACTTTTTTATAGGTAATTAAACAATTTTAAACGTTAACTTTTGTTTAACATTAAAGTTATAACAAATATAAAAGAAATATAACTTTTATTATATAAGAAACAAAGACAGCAAAAATAAAATGAATAAATAAATGTAAATTTACAGTAACGTGTTACTAGTTTTTATGTTGTTTCTTCAAAACTTTATTGATAATAGTTTTATTATCTTCTGAAAAGGGGAAATTTGGAACTAGCTAGTAGTATTAAAAAATCACAACCTAAATGTATGTATGGATATAGGTAACTAAAAAAAGTCATTAAAATTTTCATTTGTATATTTAAAAGTTAATTAAAAATGTAATAAATAAGTTACTTTCTTACAATACAATAAGCCCTGAAAATTTCATTGAGATATACCTAGGTAATAATGTAAGTCCCGAAATGCAAAAAAAAAATATTAAAATGAATATTTTGAAAAACGGTTTTAGGGTATGATTGTTGATGCCTATCAACAATCCTATTATCATTATTTTAATAAAATTAACACCTACCTACTTACTTAATAACCTAATTTATTTAAAACATTCATAATGCAAGTATAATTATTAAACGAAACATACATCGTAAAAGGACCTGAAAAAAGTAAATGTGACTTAATTTTAATTAGTTAATGCCTATTTTGTAAAAATAAGTAGTAAATATTAGATATGTAGTTTTTAAGTATTTTATTTTTGCTATTTTTATTTAATTTGTTAAATAAGAAAAAATAAAATCTTTTTTGGTTTAAAAATTGCACTGTTAGCTTATATAAAAAATACAATCTAAATACATATCATGATGTACATTATTCACGGCCAAATCACTATGTGGTAATCCTCAAAATATATTATCTCTTTGAAAAGTATTATTTTTTAGTCAAACTACCAGCACTTAAAAATTTAATTTACTTAACATTTCAGCTGGATTTACATATCCATTTACGACTCGCTAAAAAACATGTTTTCAATTTATATTCTAATTGATATCCATTTCAGCAGTTCCAAATTATTGTTCTAATATTTATCTGTGCTATTTTTTGAGACCTATAGGTACACCCCTTTGCTTACTTTTTTAAATAAAAACAGTTACAAATTTATCAACTTGGAAATTGCCAAAGTGGAAATATACCTACCGGGTGATTCAGTTTGTATTCGCGACCTCGTATCTCTTTTATTTTAACAAATATATATACCTACATATAACATAACTATATATTTTTAAATTGCTGCTTAAAATCTATCAAATGACATTATTAGATCGTCTTCATGGTAATATATGTCAAAATTGCTGATTATTCAACTGTTTTTGTTCAAGTTTCACACTAGGTATATATTTTTTTTATCTATTGTGGAAGATATTTTTTTGCGTCCAGCTATATAAGGAAGTCTATAGTTTCACTAGAAATATTGCTAGAAAAACAGCAAAAAAAAAAGATGAACCCTACTTTCAGTAGCTTTATTCTGATAAATGATAGCCAGTTACGGAAAAAACTGAATTTTGACGTTTCTAAATAACGGTTTGTCAAAATAATTGACATTTTGTATTTACCTACCTATTCTATCTATGACTAATTATAACATGAATACAGTAACCAAGAAAAATTAAATATGATTTTAATTTTAATTTATGGAGAGTGCCGAAAGAACGCTAAAACTGAGCAAGGCGTTTATACCGACATCGTTTTCTGCAGATAGAACTTCTATCAGATATAATTTTTGGAAAGTTAACCAGAAATTTGGCGGCATGATGGAAGTTTTCAATGGAAAAGAAGAATTTTTAAACCCAGAAGAGCAAGAGATGAATAACAGTAGATAGCAATTTTAGGACGTGTTTTTATAGATCTAAACATTTCGATTCGTTAGCTGGAAGTGGAAACTGATATTTCGTATTCTTCTTTAACACAATTCAGGTAGATGTATTGGTAGTCTTAGCGAACATGTTAAATGGCTTACTAGATCTCCGGATATCACTCCTATAGATTTCCTTGGTCTTACCTAAAAAGAAAAGTTTACTTTTCGCATTTAAATGACATTGATATTAAATGAAGAAACACTAGAAATTGTTTCGAGGGAGTGATAAACAGAGCTATTCTGCGTTTGGAGGCAAATGGAAGCATTTTGAAGATTCAAATAACTATTGTTTTAAATTGTTATATTATTATCGTGTTAAAAATAAAATATGTTACTTTAAAAAATATACTTATATCTAATAACTTGTTTCCGCAACTGGCTATCATTTTTCAGTATAAAGCTACTGAAAGTAGGGTTTATCTTTTTTGCTGTTTTTCTAACAATATTTCTAATGAAACTGTAGACTTCCTTATATGGCTGAAAGCGGAAAAAATCATCCAGAATTGATAAAAAAATATATATTTGAACAAAATACTTATATAAGGTTTGTTATCACTATTTGTTAAAGTCAAAAAAAATCTATTTACTTATTTAGGTACTAGGTATATAAAATAAATCGTATGGAATTAGTTTTTGTAGGGCTTTGGATTTTGAGGCGCTACTTAAATATACTTACGTCGTGTCATAAAAACTCAGTTCATTTTTTTAAAATACGTGTATACACAGAAGGAAATATCAAGTAGGTAAAATTAGCCAAAAATATAAATTGATTCGTCCCTTGTTCCAGTAAGCCATCGATTTTTTTAGGTAAGTTTGGCGTATGATATTGTAACACTAATAAGAAAAATTGCAATTATACCTATTATGTTACCAACAACATTTTTACTCGATTGTCCTCAGTGTAGCTTTTAAAACCAACGATTAGTATCAAAAAGCCATACACCTATGACATAAATTGACGAGAATTTTAGTAAAACGCCGACGATAATCAATACAGCCCAGAAAAACCGCCTCGGTACCTCCACCGAGCAGCGAGGTTTCATTTCGAGCAAGACAATCTTGCCGGCGTAAAATTAAGTCGCTAAAACATCTTTATAGGAGCCATAAAAATATAATCAATACAGCATAAGCTGTATAGCGCGCGGTGGCGGACCGGGTATACGCGTTATTAAGGTTGAGAATAGTAATAGTCCATATATATCCGCCTTAATGCATCCAGACATCTACTTAGAGACAATAAGGACTGTTCCAGAGGAAACTGACCCGAAACCCCCCGGACGTACGGCTCTTGGGGCGTGGGAGCCAATCACCGGTCGATGCCACACAACCAACCAGCTCGTACCGGCGCCCCTCCCCCAACTCTTCGCCTAAATACGCTCCCGACCCCCGAAGAGACTTCATTTTCCTCGTCCTAAAGCGCGCGACGCGAGTCCATAGTGATTTAGTGTTCTGTGAACCCTTTGTGTCAGTGTTTCGTTTATGCATTCCCAAGGAAGCTTCGCCATGTTCCACCAGCAAGAACAGAAGAGCTCCCCCGTTGTCCTGGACGTCATCCCGCCTCACTACAACGTGCACCACGGCCAACCGAGTCCTCCGCAGTCGCCGGCCCAACATTACAGCAAAGGTGAGTGGAATTGGAAGCGGAAGTGCGTCGCCTAGACTTTGGAACACGTGTAGGGACCCACTTGAGAAGTCTAGACCCGCACTTCCTAGTTAGAGTGGCTCGGATTTTACGTTTCACTAATTAGTTGAGTAGCCAGAGATAAATTTCCGGCACTTACGCTGTTTGAATTGCAGACTGCTCGAGTCCCGTTCATTCCGAAATAAAAATGAACACCCCGACCAGCCCGCCGTTAGTGAACGATCCCAACATCCGACGATACCGCACTGCGTTCACAAGGGAACAGCTGGCGAGGCTGGAGAAGGAGTTCTACAAGGAAAACTACGTGTCCAGGCCTCGAAGGTGCGAACTCGCGGCCCAGTTGAACCTTCCCGAGAGCACGATCAAGGTGGGTACTGTTATTGAGACTACTGACGTAGGCGTTATTAAAAAATCCATTAGCGTTTATGATTATATTCATGTGTGTTGCCTATGGCCGCCAATTAGCACTGTCTTGCTCAAATAGAACGCTAATATAGCTTTTAAAACATCAAAGTCGCCGCTTTGATGGTAATTTGAGCCTTATAAAAAACAACTCTTGAGTCGCTGTTAAGTTTTAGTAGTCTAATGGACAGATGAGTTGGTATCATGTGGTTTATGATGTGTTAACTACTTAAGATCAAGGCGGTGGCGGGTCTTCTTACTGAAACATCTCATTGTCCGAGCTTTGTGGAGCTAATTAGCGCCTGTGTAATGAATTTTGATTTTAATGAATGTCACTGTGACTGTGTGTGCGTATGCGTATTCCAATCTGGGGAACCTGGAATTATCGTTGAATATCATATACCTACAAATATTAGACAGTTTCTTAAATTTTCATATGATATTATTCAAAAGTTTTCAAGGTAAAGGTATTTTAACATGAGTGAGATACAGTACCTGTTTTAAACGACCTTACAAATAAAAGGCGCACGGATTGCAATCTGGCGATCGAGTGGGCTACGCAACTGAGCCATTTCGAGCTATCTACCGTCCAAGGGTATAATTGATGTTATTTTAAAATCCCCTAACTGTACTTTTTGAACGTTATGCCCTAAAAACTTACTTATTTTGAAAATTTTATAAAAATCTTTTTAAACAGAAACAACATTGTTTTCAAAAAATATTTTTAAAATATACCTATACCTACCTAGTACTTTTTACTACAAAAACAGATAAATCATGAATTATAGAATTCAATAGGGCAATATTATTAAAGTTTATTACGATAAAAGTAACAAGTACCTACCTACTTACAATTGTTTTTGTGAAATTATACAGTACGCGCCTAAAGTCTGAAATAAATTCAATAAAAACGAGACAAATTTTTTTTTGGGAAAAATCCTCGAACAGGTCGATTTTTAATTTAAATAATACTGATTTTAGCATAAAAGGCGATTTTCAACCGTCATTTGTTTTCGAGTAATGACGCCATCGACTTTTTTTTTAAATAACAACCCCCTATTTTTTTTCTTGATTCTGAGAGATCGTTTCATTGTCGATCCGACAGTATTAAAATGTTGCCATCTTACATAGGAAAGTTTTCGAGTAAATCACGATTGAAACGTAAATTTTATTCATTAAAAAAATAACAATTCCTATGTCCAGCAAATACAATTCATTAAGTTTTCTACCTAAATTAAGTGTTCGAATTGCCACCCACCGACTTCTTGACAATACGCAAGTCTGTGTAGAAATTCTTCTTGCACATTATGAATTATTTCTGGGGTAACTCTGTGTATTTCATCTATAATACAATTTTGGAGTTCTTCTAAATTATGTGGTCTATTAACGTACACTTTGGACTTTAAGTAGCCCCATAAGAAATAGTCCAGGGGTGTAAGATCTGGGGATCTCGCGGGCCATTCTATCGGTCCTCGTCTGCCGATCCACCTCCTAGGAAAACAATTGTCCAGAAAATCTCGAACAGGGCGCGCATAGTGCGGAGGTGCACCGTCTTGCTGAAACCATATGGTGTCATCAGGAATATCAGGGTCATTATCGTTAGGAAAAATTACTGCAAGCGCTGGAACAAGGTCATTTTGTAAAAACTCTAAATATCTTTCTCCTGTAAGGGTTCCTTCAAAGAAGAAAGGCCCTACTATTCTGTTGTCAACTATTCCAGCCCACACATTTAATTTCTGTGGGTGTTGGGTATGTGTCTCTGCCATCCAATGAGGATTTTCCCGACTCCAATACCTGCAAGTTTGACGGTTCACTGTACCATTGAGACAAAACGTGGCCTCGTCTGAAAAAAGTATTTGCCGGTGTAAATCTCTATTTACTTGACATAAATCCATCATAATTTCACAAAAGTGTAAGCGGCGGTCGGGATCGTCTTCATTGAGTTCCTGCACAAGTTGAATTTTGTAGGGATGATATTTTTCCTGCCTCAGGATACGTAGCACTGTGGTCTGACTAATTTCATTGTTTAATGCAACCAATCGTGAAGTATTATGAGGATTATCTACCATACTTATCAAAATGTTCTGTTTGTGATCTTCACTAACGCTTGGACGTCCAGGTTTTGGAATATCTACAACATTGCCAGTTTCTCTAAATTTAGATTCTATCTTACTGACTGTTGATTGGCTGATACGGCGATCTGGATGTTTTTCATTAAATAAATCGCAAACTTCCTGCTGCGTTCTAGTCTTATCCCCGCATCCGATAAGAATTAAAATTTCAATTCTTTGTGTGACAGTTAAATGTGCCATAATACTTTAAATTCAACAATAATTTTTATATCGCTTACAATACTTAGAAAGTCGGTATGACAGTGACACTTTGTAAAGATTTACACCTACGTGATCCATAAAAAACTTCAGGCATTTCGAAAAACTAAATTTGATAACGTTTTTGCTTTATTTTAATTGATTTGGGTTTTCTAACATTCAATCGTCATTTACTCGAAAACTTTCCTATGTAAGATGACAACATTTTAATACTGTTGGATCCACAATGAAACGATCTTTTAGAATCAAGAAAAAAAAATAGGGGGTTGATATTTAAAAAAATGTCGATGACGTCATTACTCGAAAACAAATGGCGGTTGAAAATCGCCTTTTATGCTAAAATATGTATTTTTTAAATTAAAAATCGACCTCTTCGAGGATTTTTCCCAAAAAAAAATATTTCATTTTTATTGAATTTATTCCATACTTTAGGCGGGTACTGTATAAATATATGTATAATAATTTTAACACGTGATTACAGTTTTGACAGTTTCCTGGATGTAGATGATAGAGGAACCACAATAATATGATAATTTTTTACTAAGCATTTTTTTTTTCAGTGCAGTCTAATTTTATGGCGTCTCTGTACCACTTACGTCGTTGATTCACTGTCATTACGAATTAGTTTATGCTTTTATCATTTCAATTTTTTTAATCCTTACTTAAACTTATTTAATTGTCCATGCATAACAGGGCTCTTGGAAGCCAATAGATATATTGTACAAAAAAATCTTTTTAAAAACCAGCTGTAGCCTTATTGTTTGCATTCTACTTGAAGAAATTCTTGACCTTTAAATAGCATGTAGTCTGTTTCATATTAAAATCTAATATGGCATCCCTACGAAGAAATTAAGTCATTTTTGTAACATATTGGATTTAAAAAAAAAAACTAATTACGCCTTTGAAAATATCAAGAAAATTACATTAGAATGGTTCAAGAATTTGGTGAGTCAAACTACAAAAGGAGGTTATGGCAAATTTTTTGTTTAAGTTGACGCCAAGCAGCAATTTTTTATTTTTTTTGAAAACTCGTCAAAAGTCGACATTTTCGTTAAATTTTCAGTTGACAAAGTGAGTCTTTTTTGTCATCTAGCTGCAAAATACCTGTATGTTCTGGAACGGTAAAGCCTTTTTCTTTCTAGAATATGAAACGAATGTCAAAATAATTTGTCATTTTTTCGATTTTATTAATTAAACAATATTTATTTTAAATAATATACCTAATATTTCAATACAAAACAGTAACTATTATAAACAGGACGATTACAATTTATTTTGCACTACATGTAAATTGAAAATGCCGATTCGCAGTCAATTAAATTTATGCCAGATCCAGTGCTGTCAGTTATCTATCGTAGCTTTTAGTTCTGGGTATTGGCAAGTTCCGTAGGTTCTACTGAAGATGGTAATAATCTATGCGATTGAAGTTTTATTTTGTTCAGAATCTTCTATATAGGTATATCTCCGCTACCGTACTAGAATGCCACCCCCATAATATACTGACAATAACGTCGAATATTTAATTTTATTATTATTTGAACTTCCATTCCTGAAGTACCATTTCGCGTTCTAGATACAGAAATAACTACCTATAGTATGATTTTAGAAAAAAAAAAGTTTCTAATTTTGGTTTGTTTGATTATTAAATAAATGCAACCTATACCTAGATATACTGGCCACTTTTTAAGTTAGAAGAAAATCAGCAAAAAAAGTATGGAGATTTATGCGTCAAATTCTAATAGCATTTATTTATTTTTACTAAAAACTTCCATATCGAGATAAATTAGGCTTTTATTTTTAACTTAAGTTCTTTTAATCTAATTCTTAATTAGAGTACACCTTTATCAATATTATTTATGTGGTAAATATTAAATCATTTTGATAAAAATCCTTAATAATTTGACCAAGAAATTATATTTGCTAATTTTGTACAATATTACCTATTAATTAACGCTGTTAGAATTTAGCTAAACATTTCACATAGGTATTTATCAAACATATATTTTTTTAAATTCTATTGGCTCAACAAAATTTTTTAAAATTAGGTACCCTATATTGAACACACCTTAAATTTGAAATAATATATTATATCAAATATGAACCTACAAATTTATCTAGACGCCAAAGACAAATCAATATTTTGCCCGTTATTCAATAATTCGTTAAGATAACAAAAATAATTTTGAAGCCATTATGACTCCCAAAAATTATACTATTACTGTAGAATTTTATTGAATAGTTTTGTCGCCTTTCTAATCTAATTAATTAGTATTGAATCAGTTCCTGTGCCATTTATTTTTGCAAAAATTGGCCGTAATCGCAACTGATGGGCAATGACGCTTGAAAAATTATGACTAATATAGAGGGTGTTCGTTAAAGAATGGCCCAAACTTTACCACTAGATTCTACGACGAAACTTAATGGGGAAAAGTCATAGGTATACAATGTTGCTCATAAAAGCTTAGTTTTCGAGATACAGGGTGTTGAAAAACAAAGTAACATTTTCTTCCGTGTCCAAGAGTTTTTTGGGATGAGAAATTCCAATTTATTGACGATTTCGTTGTATCTTCAACAAAAAGGCATTTGAATTTGTAAATGCATAAAAAAATCGTTTAAAATTTATTTTCAAATCCACTGATAAACGAAATTAGGAGCAATAGTTTATTAGCGAACAATATGCCTTTAGAGGAAACAGTGCAATTATAATTTTAAATTTAGTTTTTTTAACAATTTTACTGTAGACAGAATTGACAGAGTAAAAAATATACTTTCTAAAAACAATTTATCAATCTAACACAATCTAAACAATGTAACCAATCTAATCGACCTAAAAATCTAAAAAAATAACTAATTATTATTAACCTGCCTTAAAAGATATGTTTTTCAATGTTATTTTTTTGAGAAACGACTAAGTTTAGTAACGTTATTGAAAATTATCAAAAGTAATAAATCGAAAATTAAAAATATACTTATTTCTTCTTGGAAACACAACAGGTAGTTAGTTACAGGTAGTGACTGAATTTTCAAAATATCCAGTGGCGTCGAATTTCTAGGATTTTCAGTGAAATCAACTCCCGATGCCTATGTCCGCCACTGGTACACGTAATTAAACCCGAATTTAATGGATTTATGCTTTTAATTAGAAAAGTCATTCGCCTAAGTTTCATATTTCTACATCAACCATCTTCAGATATATTTTAGAAAAGGTTATTGCGAACGGTTATCTTTTTGGCTTAAAATGAACGTACTCAATACTGTGTAGAGCTTATATCCCTGTACTGAAACATTTTTAAATCTACTTGGAAATATCAGGAAACTTTTTAGACCTTGCATATCTTCCTTGTTCCAGGTCTGGTTCCAGAACCGCAGGATGAAGGACAAGCGCCAGAGGATGGCCATCGCCTGGCCTTACGCTGCCGTATACACCGACCCAGCTTTCGCCGCCTCCTTACTCCAAGCCGCCGCTTCATCCCTGCCTCTACACTACCCCCCACCGCCCCCGATGTACACGCACCACTACCCCCGGTACCACCCGTACCCCAGCTTCGGCGTGCCACCAGCAGGACTCCCGGTATCGAACCCGGCCCTCACCTTGCAGCAGAACGTCGGTATCAACCCCGCCGCTTTACCCGGCGCCCTCCCCCAGGCGGTACCTCATCCCCAGCTCCCCCAAGGCTTGAACCTCAACCTGAACTTCGACTTTCCCTCGTCATATCAGCCCCATCACCACAAGATTTCGCCCAGCTCGCCGACGCACTCGGAGATCAGCCTGAGCCCACCCGTACACGAGGGGCTCCTGATCCCGGCCTCCAAGACGTCGCCCCAGACGCAGATGCCCGTCGCGGACAAACCCAAGCTGTTCAAGCCGTACAAGTCCGAGGTGTAGGGTGGTTTCTCCTCGAGTTTTTTTAGTTTTAATGCGTTGTGATATCGGTACTTTAACTTGCAGGTTAGGCCATTTATGTATATATGTATAACTGACTGTATATTATTATTTATTATTATTTTTTATTTATCCTGTGTTATGTATATATTGTTAATAAAATAAGATATATATCCGTCGATTCTGTTTCATTTGTTCGCGTGTTATTTTAATACTGAACTGTTTATAAGTTATACAGGGTCGCAAAGTCCCCATGGTCCATCGGCTGTTACGTGAGAGCGATAAAGAAAGTCGTAGAAATCCGTGCGATAGAGAAAGATGGCTATAATGAAGGCGTCTAATAGTCACCGCCCATTTCGCCCTTCCACAAATAAGAAGAATAAATATATATAACAATAAAATAATCCTAATAGGGTTACAATATTACAAAATAATAAGTAACAATGTAAACTTACTGCACATCTACTGTTGAAAATGATCTATTTACATTAAAGGAAGCCCCACACCGAAAACTTTGGGTTCACGAACTTACCGCTGCGAATAATTCGCAAACGGCGCTCAGTGGGAAATATTAGACAAAATTCTCACCACACACCGATTCTCATCGTCTCGAGATTTTTCTTTTAATAATCTCGTAATCTGAATTTTCATATTCCAGTGAGGTTTTTTCGAAAAACCCTTTTTTTAATGCTTAGGGAGCGCCCCAACCTAAATCTCGAAGAAACAATTTTTAAATACGATGTTCAGTTGTAGAAAAAAAAATGTTTAAAAAGTTTCTTCTATTAATAAAATTGTTTATTATGACCCTTGATGATATATCTGATGTTTTTTCTTCAAAAACCTAACCTCAAAATTATTAATTCTAACCTAAAAGCCTTAAACGAAATTTACATTGGAAAAAAGTTTTTTTACATGGCAAAAGTACGAAATAGATTCAATAGAACCCTGCGTAACATGTTATACCCAAACCATGAATTTGAATCTAAAAAACCTAACCTCAAAACCAACATAAACTAAGTTTAAACGCATTAAATTAAGGATTAATAAAAA